TTTTGTACATGGTGTTAGGCAGAGATCTAAGCCCAGTTTTTTGAGTGTAGTCATCCAGTTTTACCAGCACCATTTGTTAAAAAGGCTTTCCTTACTCCCCTTCAAATTTATTGTCCCTTTATCAAAGATTAGATGATCATATGTTTGGGGAGAGATGTCAGTATATTCAACCCTGTTCCATAGATCCGCAGCTCTGCCTTTGTTTCAGTACCATGCTGTTTTAATTATTACTGCTTTGTAGTAGAGCTTGAAGTTAGGCAGGTTGATTCCTCCCATTTTCTTTTTCCCAAGAATTGTTTTAGCTATTCATGGGTGCTTATTGTTCCATATAAATTTCAGAAGTGATTGCTCCACTTCTTTGAAGAATGTCATGGGTATCCTTATAGGGATCGCATTGAATTTGTACAGTGCTTTGGGAAGTATTGCCATTTTGACAATGTTGATTCTCCCCATCCAGGAGCAGGGGATATTTTTCCATTTCCTAGTGTCCTCTTTTATTTCCTGAAGTGGAGTTTTGCAGTTTTCTTTGTACAGGTCCTTTACTTCCTTAGTTAAGCTGATTCCCAGGTACTTGATTTTCTGGGGGACAATTGTGAATGGGATTGTTTTCTTCATGTCACTTTCTTCTCTTTCACTATTTGCGAATAGGAAAGCCATGGAATTTTGGGTATTGATTTTATAGCCTGCCACTTTACTATACAAGCCTATAGATGCTATGAGTTTCTTGGTAGAGGTTTTAGGGTTCTCTAAGTAGAGTATCATATCATCCGCGAATAGTGAGAGTTTAATTTCTTCCTTCCCTACCTGGATGCCCTTAATATCTTTTTCTTGCCTAATAGCTATTGCAAGTACTTCCAGTACTATATTGAACAGTAGGGGAGAGATTGGGCATCCTTGTCTCGTCCCTGATCTTAGGGGAAAGCTCTCAGTTTTTCCCCATTGAGGATGATGTTTGCTGTAGGTTTGTGGTAGATGGCTTTAACTATATTAAGGAAAGTCCCTTCTATCCGCATTTTGACGAGGGTTTTCATCAAAATTGGTGCTGGATCTTGTCAAATGCTCTCTCTGCATCTATTGATATGATCATATGATTTTTATCTTTTCTTTTGTTGATATGATGGATTATGTTGATTGATTTCCGAATGTTGAACCATGCTTGCATCCCCGGGATGAATCCCTATTGGTTATGATATATGATCTTTTTAATGAGTTGTTGAATTCTATTGGCTAGTATTTGGTTGAGAATCTTCACATCCGTGTTCATCAGGGATATCGGCCTGTAGTTTTCTTTTCTTGTGGTGTCTTTGTTTCGTTTTGGTATTAGAAAGATATGGGCTTCATTGAAAGTGTTTGGGAGAATTTCTGTTTTTTCAATTTCCTGGAAAAGCTTGAGAAACATAGGCAGTATGTCCTCTTTAAATATTTGGAAAAATTCGCAAGGGAATCCATCAAATAGAACTTTTTCTGGAGAAAGACAGTGTTATTACCAGTGTTATTACCTGTAGACATTTTGGTTGTTGGCTGATTTATTCACTCTAGAAATTCAGGGTTTGAGCTTCACACCCTGTAGCCTCAACTACTAACTTCCTTCCCTTTCTCTCAGGCAATCACAGTTTTCCCAGACTATAACTATAGTTTTTCTGTTTGGTCCTTTGTTTCCAACTAAGAGGAAAACCAGCTACTAATTTTCTTTCACTCCAAGGAAAAATATTGAATGAGAGGAAAAGCAACAAGAACTTTTGCCCTCAAACATGACAAAATTAGAAACCTGCTAGAATCTCCAATGTGTGGCTGTCGTGATGTGTAAATTGGAAGGCTGATGACAGCGAATAAAGTTTCAGAGCTTATTAACAAGCAGTGCATTATGCTGGATAACACTGTAAATGGAGAGGGCAGTTCTCAGCAGCTCCCAAGGGTCCTGCAGCCATTCTCAGTGCAAGTTGCTCCATTCTGGGGCCTGAAAGTGAGGTGCTGCTGGACCTCCAGTACCAGGGAGCACCTCTGCCAGCCCGGAGTGTCCAGGGGCCAAAGGACAGAATTGTTTGTGGAGAATCTTTTTGCCCCAGGCACCTAATTGTTGTCCAGTACATGCAAGGCAAGCTCCCAGTATTTCCTTTGTAGTCTATTTTTATGTGCACATATCCACATCTGGATGTATAGAGATTTGGTAGAGTGACGGCAGGGAGAATCCAGTAAGTGTGATCATTAAAATCACTTCAACATAAAAATGTGTTGCAAGAAAACACAATAGAATTGCAAGTTTGGACCCCAGGGTGTTACACAGAATTGCCTATACCCAGAGCACCCAGAATCTCTGTGGCTGACAATGGGACTTCACACCTAACCCCATATGGCCAAAGGACAGAAATGGACTCATCTTTACTCTCCGCAGACTGCATTTTATTGAAATGGACTGAATCGCAGAGAGATGAATTTTATCTAAATGTTGACTTCTGAGACTGACAGATTATCAATCCCTATTATCAGGTAAGATATTTCTGGGTTGATCTGGTGAGTTCCCTTAGGTTCTAGAAAGATAGGCAATATTGTAAAATGGAATGCAAAAAATGACAGATCTATGGGCATAAAAAGAATCATATCTGTATTTGAGAACTGAAAATACAAATATTTACATTATTTTAATAAAAAATAAGAATAGAAACTTCTTCTAAAGAGAAACATTTTGTGGAATAAAATGATCAGATTCCTATCGACATCCTTACATTCCAGAAACATCTTTGTTGAGTCATAAGATCCCTTCCCTATCATTTACATTTAATTCCATACCTTCCACTCTTCATGGCACTCACAGCAGACTCAGCCCTGATGATCAACAGTTTTTATTATTATTATTGTTATTATTATTATTATTAGTTTAAGATCCACACCTGTTGGTGGTCAGGGCTCACTCCTGGCTCTGAATTCAGGAATTACTCTGGTGGTGCTTGGGGTATCATATGGGATGCCAGGGAATGAACCCAGATTAGCCTCGTGTAAGGCAAGTGCCCTCCGGCTGTGCTATCGCTCTGGCCTACCCGGCACTTTCACATCCCGGGACTTAACCACAATCACCTCACATCGTGCAGATGAGCCTCACTACTCCCTCTGGTCCAGCTACGGTGCCTGTCCTCTTGGTCCTGGCTGGGCACTGGCTGGCTGGATCCAGTGTCTTTGCTCACAAGTCTGCAGCCTCATCTCCTACCTTCCTTCCCTTTCTCGAGGGTATCACAGAGTTTTCCCAGAGTCTGAGGTTAGTTTTCCCCTCTGGTCCTTTGTTTCCACCTTACTGTAAAACCAGTTGGCAATCTTTTTTCATTCCAAGAAGAAAAACTTGAGAAAGAAGAAAGAGCATTAGGAACGTTTTCCTCAAGCATGACCAAATTAGAAAACTCCCACAAGAGTCACTGTGCTCTGTAGTGATGGGTAAATAGGGAGGCTTATGACAGTGAATGGAATTTAGAAGCTTATTTACAAGAGGTGTGCTGGGTGAAGGGCACTTTGGAGGGAGAGGGCTGTTCACAGCAGCTCTCAAGGGACCTGCAACCATTCCCAGAGACTCTCACACACAGGGGCAGCTGCTCCATTCTAGGACCTCAGGGTCCATGCACCTATGGCCCTCCAGTACCAGGGAGCACTTTCTTCGTCGATTGCCTCGAGCAGGCCCCAGTAACGTCTCTTTCATCCTAGCCCTGAGATTATATTCAAGGCTCTTTAGGAGAATGAGACCCATCATTGTTACTGGTATTTGGCATATTTGGTATGCCACGGGGAGTTTGCCAGACTCTGCCCTGTTGCAGGCTACATTCCGTAGCCTGCCAGTTTGTTCGTAGTTTCATTTTTATGTGCACATATGTGTAGTTGTCTGTATATATGTTTGGTGTATTAAGGGCAGGAGAACCCAGCCACTGCTGATGGGACCCCTGGGCCACTCTCATGAGATCCTGTAAAACACAGTTACAGTTCAGAGCTAGGAACCCAAAAGATGTGCCCCTAGGATCATGTCATATGGGGATGAGAGATTCTGTCTGGCAGTGTTTGATGGCCCCCAGTGTTTGAGTGCTCACTGGCAATGCTCAGAAACCAACTGTTGCAAGGGATCAAATCATGAGGAGGCAAAGTGGTCTTTTGCATGCAGGAATCCCACGCTCTGGTCCTGCACAGCTGGTTCCCAGAAAGCCATGAGAACAGGGCAGGGAGAGGCTATCAGCATCACTGAGAGTGGCCTAAAAACAAACTCTAGAAATTTCCAAAACTCACAAGAAAAAAATAAAAAGGATGAAGGTCTGTTTCATCAACAAAACATCACCTAAAAACCCTTGACATATGTCCTAGTCTCCTGTATTATGATTTCTTTTCATCTTTGTCTGAGGATCCTCCATTGTTGTCATTTGTAAAATTGAAATGGCAATGTTAAATGCATAATTCTTTATATCCAATAGCCATTCTCTTTAAATAGACCTACTGGATTGAGATAGCTATCACTACACAAAGCCTGAATTCACTTAAATCACTTAACTTCCCGTTAGTCGTCGATTTGCTCGAGCGGGCGCCAGTAACGTCTCCATTTGTCCCTGTCGCGTGCTAGTGTAGCCCAATGGCATCTGTTCGCTCCGGGAACATGAAGGGCCTCAAACCGATCGTCCATGATCTTGACGAAGAAGTCTGACCATCTGGTAGGTGGGCGGCCACGCGGTCTTTTGACATCCCGTGGAATCCAATCAGTAACAGCTCTAGTCCAACGGTCGTCTTTAAATCTCATTACGTGACCAGCCCATCTGATTTTCGACACCTTGGCTAATGAGACAGCGTCCCTGATCCTTGATTGTCGACGGATGTCAGAACTCCGGATTCCTTCTCTCATTTGAGTGAAACGTGATATTCCAAGCATAGCTCTTTCTATTCTTCTTTGGGAGACCTGAATAAAGCCTGAATTATCAAAAAAAAATTCTATTCAACAGATTTCATCTTGTCTTGCAGTCAACCACAAGAGGTCAGAGGCGATGGATAATTTCACCACAAGTGGGTTTCTTCTCATGGGATTTTCATCTAAACCTGAGGAAGAGCTCTATTATGCTTCTGTGTTCTTGATCTTATACTTGTTGGCTTTAATTGGCAACATGCTCATCATCACCGCGACTTCCCTGGATGACAGTCTCCAGTCCCCCATGTATTTCTTCCTGAAGCATCTCTCCTTGTTGGATCTCTGCTACATTTCTGTGACTGTGCCGAGATTCATTTACAACTCTTTCAAGCACAGCAGGAATATTTCCCTCTGGGAATGCATCGTGCAGTGCTTTGCTTTGATGACCTGTGGTTCTGCAGAGGTGTTCATGCTCACGGTGATGTCTTATGACCGTTACATGGCCATCTGCCTGCCCCTGCGCTACAGCGTCATTATGAATGTCAGAACCTGTGTCCATGGCGTCACTGGCGTCTGGGTCACTGGGACTATCTCTGGAGTCATGCATACGACAGCTACTTTCTCCATTCACTTTTGTGGCCCCCGCATCATTCACCAGTTCTTCTGTGATATCCCCCAGATCCTGAGATTCTCCTGCTCCAGTGAGTTTATGAATGAGATCGACGTCACTCTTTTTACAGCTTTCCTGGCACTTGTCTGTTTCACATTTATTGGGTTCTCCTACGTGCACATATTCTCTTCCGTGCTGAAGATGCCATCTGCGGAGGGCAGAGCCAAGGCCTTCTCCACTTGCCTCCCCCACCTTGCTGTCGTCATCTTGTTTCTTTCTACTTCCACCTTCGAGTTTTTCAAGCCTCATTCTGAGGTTCCAACTGCTTTGGACATGTTGCTCACTATCATGTATACCGTAGTGCCCCCGGCATTGAATCCATTGATCTATAGCCTGAGAAACAAAGCCATAAAGTTGGCTCTCAGAAAGATGTTTCAAAGAAGGAAAGGAGCACTTACTTCCATTCATTCCCTATTGGGAGACAAGTTCAATATATAAATGGTAATATTTATAGAATTGTTTGCTAAATTTAGTGTTTACTGTGTTTTGTGCCATACCTGATATTCTTAGTGGTTACTCCTATTACTGTGCTCAGGGCTCATTCCTGGTGGACTAGAGGATTTTATGTGTTGCTTGGAATCAAACTTTAATCAGCAGCATGTAAGGCAAGAGCCCTAGTGTTGCACTGTCACTCTGGACCCACATATTGAAGTTTATTTTAAGTAATGTTTTATGGTTGATAAAACTGTTTTATGTATGTGCTTCTTGGAAAACTAAAGCAATCATACTTCGGGCTCCAGAAAAATGACTTGTGAATAATTTAAGTATCACCCTACAAAATCAGATGTGAAAATAATGCAAATTAAACAATGTTCTACTTAATTTTGTTTCCCTGGTAATTTCTTCGGTGATGATGGAAAAAAGTTAGATATAACATTCATAGTTCATTTAACAGCTAACACTGGAGTTTGGTCAATACATGACATACAAGAATTGATAAGATTGCACACACTCTAACATCACTAGCCACTCAGATCTCCAAAATTTTCTATCAATTTCTCTAGGCTTCTATCAAGCTCAAGTCTCCCTGAAAATATCGCATAACCCACTTGCTTTTCTGCCTCAGATTACTTGATTATTATGCAGACATTCGTTAGAAATAAATATTTAAATTTCCAAATAACCTGGTAGAACCAGAGAAATACAGACTTTATTTTATATATTTACTTTTGGGCACCATCATGTACAAAGTTGTTGACAATCTAGTCTCAGGTCTCCAATGTCCAGCTCCAATCCCCCCATCTATAATGGCATAATATTGAAAAATTTTATCATTTAGAAAATGGCATCTCTGGAGGTAGAGAATGTAAAAAATAATTTGATTTTTGAATAATTTGATGCTATATTTTAATTTTATTGTATTATTAAATGTCAATAAGTTGTTTTCTGAAATATATTCCCCATGTTGTAAGCTTAATAAAGGTAAAGGTAAAGGCCCTCCCGTTGTTGGTCGATTTGCTCGAGCGGGCCCAGTAACGTCTCCATTGGAGACTTTGTTGTTTCTGTGTTTGGCATATCGAATACGTCACGGGGAGCTTTCCAGGCTCTGCCGTGCGGGCGAGATACTCTGGGCAGCTTGCCGGGCTCTCCGAGAGGGGCGCAAAATTGAACTTGTGTCGGCCATGTTGGCTGTGTGCAAGGCAAACGCCCTACCGCTGTGCTATCGCTCCCACAGTAATTCAATAAATAAATAAATAATTTTTTTTAAAAAGTAAAAGTAAAGGCCATCCCGTTGATCATCGATTTTCTCGAGCAGGCCCAGTAACGTCTCCATTGGAGACTTTGTTGTTACTGTGTCTGGCTTATCGAATACTCTCGGTAGCTTGCCGGGCTCTCCGAGAGGGGCGGAGGAATCGAACTCGGGTCGGCCATGTTGGCTGCGTGCAAGGCAAACGCCCTACCTGCTGTGCTATCACTCCGCACGTAAGCTAATAAATATTAGACATTTATTTCACGCATTTAAATTTTTAATTTTTCCCTTTTCATGACGTTTTAATTTCTTTTATATTTTCCATGTCATATATAAATAGTGTTATGTCACTTTTTCTTTTGCCAATTTGGATCTCAATTGTTTATTTTTCTAGCCCAATTGTTCTGGCAAAGATTTTTAAGAATACATTGGATACACGTGGCTAACAGAAACATTTTTGGTTTGTGCCTGATCTCAGACAGAAATATGTCAATCTTTTGTAATTAACTATGGTTATAAAAAAACATGGTATTAGACCTAAATTCATAGAATTTATCAGGTAAATATAACTAGCACTCTCCAGGATATGGATTTCAAAAGAATCTTCAATTATTTGATAATGATAGCAGAAATAAGTAAAATCAATGTAAACAAATGAACTACTTAATCACTTGATCACTTGAGCAAATAGATGAGCAACGGGATGACAAGTGTTACAAGTGAAGGGAGGAGAAGGAAAGACCAATGTCAGGTCACACAGGGACAAGGGTGGGGAACCTTGGATACTTTGTTTGGATACAGTGGTATCCAAAATCGCAGTAACTTTATACATCAATGCTTTCAAGTTTAACAATTATATAATCATGTTATTACATGTATAACATGAAATATTAAATTAAAAAGACTGTGATATTTCTTTGCTCAATTACTAGTAAATTATGGGTATTTACTCCATTTTTAAATAAAGGCAGTTACAAACTAGGACATTATCTGTAGCTCTGTAGCACTGTCCTCCTATTGTTCATTGATTTCTTCAAGCGGGCACCAGTAACGTCTCCATTGTGAGACTTGTTGTGACTGTTTTTGGCCTATCAAACACACCACAGGAAGCTTGCCAGGCTCTTCCATGTGGGCAGGATAGTTTGCCGGGCTCTCCGAGAAGGACAGAGGAATCGAACCTATGTTGGTCGTGTGCAAGGCAAACGCCCAACTTGCTGTGCTCTCTCTCCCACCCAAGACATTAGCCTAAGATCAAATTATAAATTAAGTTGTAACCAGTCAATAAAATTAGGATAAAGAAATTAATTGGTCTTGTAGCATATTTTGAATCAAAATGCAACTCATACTGCATTTAGATGTGAGTCAATGAACACAAATAAAGCTATACTTCCTGGAACTAGATGAGGCAATTAAATCATTTCAACAGAAAAATGTGTTGCAAGAAAGCCCAATAGAATTGCAAGTTTGGACCCCAGGGTGTTACACAGAATTGCCAATACCCAGAGCACCCAGGAACTCTATAGCTGCCAGTTGGACTTCACCTTCAACCCCAAATGGCCAAAGGCCTTAATGGACTTGTGTTATATTCTCGAGTCTATATTTTCGTGAAAGGACCTGAGGAGCAGAGATATGACTTTAACCTAAGTGTGAGCCTCTGAGACTGACAGCTTGTCACTAGGATGAGGTAAGAAATTTCTGAGTTTGCTCTGCTGAGTTTCTTTTTGCAAAGATAGAATTTATTGTAAAATGGAATACAAATCAATGACAGATTTTGAGGGTAGAAATAGAATAATATCTTTACTTGAAATTTTAAACTCGAATACAAATATTTTCATTATTTTCATTGAAGACAGGATTAGAAACTCCTTCCACCCACAAAGATTTTGTGGAATAAAATGATCCCTTCCCTTTCAATACCTTTACATATAGTACCTTTCACTCAGATATATACTCAGTTAGTTGCACACCCACACAATGCTCAAACATCCTCATCACTAGAATGAGCAAATATACCAAGAGATCGGCTTTGATTTGTGCTGAGGACCACCTCTTTGGGGATAATTTGTCTCCCCTAATCTCAGACTTAAACACCCTTCCAATAGAGCAATAGATATAATCACATACCCACAGTAAGAAAAAATTACTTTTATTGGGATTATATTCTTACACTCTATACAACTCCCATTCTTCTCTAGTTACATATTTTGAGATCCTAAGGTATATAAATATTATATCTTAGTTCTAAGAATGATCACGATTCCATTTCAGGAAACAAAATTATTTAAAATCCTATTTTAGGATCTTCTGAAATATTTTTATATAAGTAATTTTTCCTCAATTTGAGGGTTTCTCAATAGACTTTGCTAGTGAACTAATTTCAAATAGACAAAATATTCTTGACTACTGATTAGCCTGTTTCTTATTAGTTACGAAATTGATTTAACTAAAGACTGTTTTCCAGAGAGCACACACAAATTTTACTGCACCATTGTATACTCAGGTGACTTGCTCGATAATAACATTTAATATATATATGTAAATATATTTGAAATGAACATTTACAAATAACTCTATTTTGTTGGGTAAAAATGATATTCCATTACTCAAATATTTTCAACTGAAAGACGGATTAAATTATTTTATTTATATAAAATAATTTCAGTAATATTCTTATCTTTTAACAATACCCTTTGGACAGGCTGTTCTTTCAGCATTTAGACTGGGAAATTAGGTTTTCTGAACCATTTGCATGATACTCTATGTTTACTTCATGGATTGTGAGCACATTGTTGTTTGTATATAGGTGCTATCAATACACACTGCTTTGAAACAGTGATTTATTGGGCTGGGCAGGCAAGGACAGGCTTTGCAGCAGGAAACTGGGGATCCCCAAGCACTGCGGAGATCAACCTCCGAGCACAAAGTTATGCATCCCTGAGCACAGCTGATCTACCACAAAAATAAAAACCAATGGAAATGGATGTTTTCGGGAGAAAAACATTCACTTTATCACTTTGTCTGTGGACAAAGGGTTGCTAGCTTTTTTATTCGCTCTAGAAATTCAGGATGAAGCTTCACACCCTCTAACCTCACCTCCTCTCTTTCTTCCCTTCTTACAGGCAACCCCAGAGTTTTCCCAGAGTTTTAGATTAGTTTTGTGTTCTGTCTTGAGTTTCCAACTCAGAGGAAACGGGCTCTCAATTGTTTTACATTCCAAGTAAAAATACTGAGTAAGAATAAAAAGCATCAGGAGCTTTTGCCTCAAGCCTCAGAAAATTAGGAACCTGCCAGAATGGCCACTTTGTGTCTGTAGTGCTGTGTCAATAGAAAGGCTGGTGACAGTGAACAGAGTTTAGAGGCCTGTTGACATGCAGGGCATTGGCTGAATCAAGCTTTGGATGGAGAGGGTGGTTCCCAGCAGTTCTCAAGTGCCTGCAGCCATTCCAGTGAGTCTCACACACAGGGGCAGCTGCTCCATTCTAAGACCTAAGGGTGGGGTGCTGCTGGGCCCTCCAGTGGCAGGGAGCACCTATGCCAGCCCAGAGTGCCCAGGGCCCAACGGACAGCGATGTTTGTGGAAAAGCATGTGGTCCCAGGGAGCTAACTGGTGTCAGGTACATGCAAGGCAAGCGCCCAGCATTTCCTTTGTAGTTTTATTTTTCTGTGCACATATCCACATCTGGATGCATATAGATTTGATAGAGTGAGGGCAGGGAGAACCCAAACATCATTGAGGGGACCCCTGGGCCACTCTCATGATATTCTGCAAAACAAACTTGTAATTCAGAGCTCAGGCCCAAGAAGAGGCGCCCCTACGTTCCTGTTAATCTGGAAGTGAGCAGCTCAAGTCTGGGAATGCTCGAAAGCTTCCAGGGCTCATCTGGCAGTGCTCAGAAACTGCCTATTGCAGGGATCAGTTCCAGGATAGGATCAGTGCATGCTTTGCATGCAGAAATCTCACACTCTGCTCCTGCACAGCTGGTTCTCAGGCACTTCCGAGAACAGAGCTGGGAATGACCCCCTAGCTTCACTGGGAATGGACTAAAAGGAAAAAAAAATCCAAAATTTCCATAAATCACAAGTGTAAGCCAAAAACTTAAATAAGGTCAGATTTATCAAAATGTAAGACCTAAAATATTTTCTTCTATGTCCTGGGGCTGGAGCAATAGCACAGGGGCTGGAGCGATAGCACAGCGGTAGGGCATTTGCCCTGCACGCAGCCAACATGGCCGACCCGAGTTCGATTCCTCCGCCCCTCTCAGAGAGTCCGGCAAGCTACTGAGAGTATTCGATATGCCAGACACAGTAACAACAAAGTCTCCAATGGAGACGTTACTGGGCCCGCTCGAGCAAATCGATAATGTCCTGGGTCCTATACTTTACATTCTTTAACCTATGTCGGAGGAGTCGATACAGCTCTCATTTATAAAATCAAAACAGCAATGTTAAATGCATAATTTTCCATGACCAATATTCATTTCTTTCAAATAGACAGATTAACTAAGTTGATGGTTATCACTATAAAAAAACTGCTTCACATTTATAAAGGAGAAGTTTTGATTTGACTTCTTACCCGAACTGCATGGTTTAGACCAATGTTACCAAAAAAATTCCGCTCAACAGATTCCATTTTTTCCAACAGTGAACCGCAGAAAGAAATCAGGGAACATGGATAATTTGACCATGAAAGGGTTTCTTCTCCTGGGATTTTCAGCCAAACCCGAGCAAGAAATCGTCTATGCTTCTCTGTTCTTGGTCTTATACGTGTTGGCTTTGACTGGCAACATGCTCATCCTCACCACAACTTCCCTGGATGACAGTCTCCAGTCCCCCATGTATTTCTTCCTGAAGCATCTCTCCTTGCTGGATCTCTGCTATATTTCCGTGACTGTGCCAAGATTCATTTACAACTCTTTCTCGCATAGAGGAAATATTTCCTTCTGGGAATGCATTTTTCAGTGCTTTTTTTTCATCCTCTGTGGCTGTGCTGAGATGGCCATGCTCACGTTGATGTCCTATGACCGTTACGTGGCCATCTGCCTGCCCCTGCGCTATGACGTCATCATGGACATCAGAACCTGTGTCCATGGAGTCGTGGGCGTCTGGGTCAGTGGGGCCATCTCTGCAGCCATGCACACGGCAACGACTTTCTCCATCCACTTCTGTGGCCCCCGCATCATTCACCAGTTCTTCTGTGATATCCCCCAGATTACGAAACTTGCATGCTCTAATGAGTTCATGAGTGAGGTAGGTGTCACTCTCTTTACAGCTTTCCTGGACCTTCTTTGTTTCCTTTTTATTGGGTTCTCCTACCTGCACATTTTTTCTTTTGTTCTGAGGATGCCATCTGCGGAGGGCAGAGCCAAGGCCTTTTCCACTTGCCTCCCCCACCTCGTTGTCGTCATATTGTTCCTTTCTACTGGTGCCTTCGAGTATTTCAAGCCTCATTCTGAATCTCCAACTGCTCTGGACATGTTTCTCACTATTATGTATACGGTCGTTCCCCCAACATTCAATCCCGTCATCTATAGCCTAAGAAACAAAGCCATAAAGTTAGCTCTGAGAAAGGTTTTACGAAGAAATGATATACTTACTTCTGCTCGTTCACTATTGGGAGAGAAGTTCCGTGTATAACTGCTAATATTTATAGAGGTTTCTTATAAATTAAAATGTTGTGTGTTTTGGCCACACCAGTGATGTTCAGGACTTATTCCTCACTCTGCTGCCAGGTATCACTGCTGGTGGTCTAGCGTGACCATATAGGTTGCTGGGAATTAAGCCAAAAGCAGTGGTATGCCAGGCAACCTGACGTTCTGTCTCTCTGACCCCAGAGTTTAAAATATATTTTACATGATATTTTGTTTGATTAAGCCATTTTATGTATGTGCTAAAGGGAAACTAAAATAATCATGCTTTGTGTCACAGAGAAATTACTTATGTATATCTTAAGTATTACCCTGCAACATCAGTTGTGAATATAATGAAAATTTCCCAATGTTTAAGAAATCAACTGATTCTTTTTTCCCTAGTAAGTTTTTAGCTATGAGAGAAAACAGCTAGATATTGTATTTATTTATGCTTCATTTCCTATTTGAACTGGAGTTTAAACAATCGAGGATATCCAAGAATTGATGACCTTGCTCTGATTCTAACCTCAGTAGCCTTTCAGAGCTCTATGACTCTCAACCAATCCCTCTAGGCTCAAATCAGAAATGCTGAAGTTTCCTTGAAAAAGTCCCAAACCTCATTCTCTTTGCATCTTTCAAATTAATGGATGACTCTGCATTCATTCATAATGAATAAAAGTTAAAATAACAAAAATAATCTGGGAGATTCATAGAAATATACATATACATCTTAGGCACTTTTATTTACAAAGTTATTGACAATATAGTCTTAAGCCTACATTTTTCCAACTCCAACCCTACCACCTGTGAAAACGTATTAGTGAAAACTTTTGTCATTTAGAAAATGGTACTTGTGGAGGTACAGACTGTAAGCGATAATTTCATGTTGGATATGTTGATGTTCCATTTCATTGTCATTGTTACTGTCCTCCCGTTGTGTGGGCACCAGTAATGTCTCCATTGTGACACTTGTTCTTACTGTTTTTGGCATATTGAATACATCATGGGTAGCTTGCCAGTCCTTGTCGTGTGGCGGAATACTCTCCGTAGCTTGCCGTGCTCTCCGAGAGGGGCAGAGGAATCGAACCCGACTTCGCCAGGTTGGCTGCATGCAAGGCAAATGCCCGACCTGCTATGCTATCACTCCAGCTCTGTTCCATTTCTATTTTATTATATAAAATATCAATATTTTGTCTTATGAAATATTATTCCTGTTGTAAGTTTAGTATAATATTTGACATATATTCCACAAATTTAATTTTTAAATTGTTTCCCTTTTCAAAATGTGTTTTAATTCCCTTTCTGTATATTATCATGACATATATAAATTGTGATAGTTCACCTATCTTTTCCAATTTCAGTCTCAATAATTTGTTTTTCTTGCGTAAACGTTGTGGCAAGGATTTCTAAGACTATGCGCTGATTATAGGAGGATTAAAAAACATTTTTGCTGTGTGCTGATCTAGAGACAGAAGTAATTCAATCTTTTGATATTAACTATAATAAAAGCAAATGGTATTAGGCCAAATTATGTGAATGTCCATCAGGTAAACATAGCTAGAGCTCCCCAATATGTAATCCTCAAAAGAATCTTCAATTATCTGATAATGGGGTAAGAATAAGAAAAATCAAGGTAAAGAAATGAACTACATCCTATAAAAATGGTTTCTATGGCCATAAAACTCCCATGGGCCAAAATTAAATGACACCCCATTGAAGATGAGAAAATATTTCATACAATAATTCAGATAAAGACTCATATCTATTATATGTAAGGCAATCAAAAAGGTCAGTAGTCAAAGTCTGACAAATCCCAAGAAAAAGTTCTCGGAATCCAGTGGCCAGCAGCTTTGGCAGAAAGCTGGACTCAGCATTAGTTTACCAGCCCCAAGCCACCCCTGTGGGAAAAGGTGCCGATCCACCGCCTGTTCCCCCTGGCAACTCAGGGTCTGCCATCTTCCAGAGGCCAATTGACAGCCATGTAGGGGCCCGCAGTGACAAGACACTCAGGGTCTCATGGGAAGCGGGTGGAGCCAGTCCTTTCCTTCCCTGCCCCAGCGAGACCCCCCCGAGTCGCTGCCCACAAACGGACCTCTGGCTACTCAACAAGCTGCTTAAGCCATGATCCCATGATCTCAGAAACAAATCTCAGAACCCAGTTGCTTTGGGCAGAAATCCCTCCAGATTTAATTATTAAGATTTTAGAATTCCAAAATCGCTAGCCTCTACAGCGACAGCGCATCATCCTATGCTATTCATAATCAGCAACAGAAAACAAATTGTCTAATGTTGCCTTTTGGGCAGATCTGAGTGTTGGGGTAAAATCCCAAATAATAATCATGGGTCTGTGTAGGATAACACTGTTTTCTCCTTCCTCAGGTAGCTTAGGTTTATCGGGTCCCACCCTTCCCAGTGGTCCCAAGTCACTCCTGTTCTTCTGTTTATCTGTAATCCCTTCTCTGTGCTCTCCTCCCCACCCAGGTAATCACCTTTTCTCCCTAATCACATTCTATTAGCTTGCAAGATCAGATCCTTCTAAGGACACTGAACATGTATTTAAACTTTTGCATAGTTTACCTTAAAGCAATCCCCTTTCTGTATGGGCACAGGAAGACAGTTAATATTATGCTTTGTAAATTGATATTTACTCCTGGGCATCTGCTTTCTTGACTCAGTTGCACTTAGTTCCTAGCAACCCAAAAGAAGGGTCCCGACAAGGGACTGAATGGACCAGGGCAAGCTGTGAACTACCCTGGCATTGAAATGGGCCAGGCCAACGCGCCACGATACGCAACTACAAGTTGAGTGCCTGATCATGTACAAATGCAGTCATGATCCAAAGGTAAGTAACGACAAGACTAGGACCCTTCTGGGGCTGGGAAGACTAACCTGGCCTGAGGACTGCAGAATATATAGTAAGATGTTCTCAGGAAGAACCAAACTATAAGTTTATATCTCTTACTGACTCATAGAGAATGACATTGATAGAAATACTAGGAGTAGATTTACTACAATTACTACAATTATTTAAGTAGATTACTAGCTGAGGAAAGAACACACCCTCGCTGGGATCCCACCCTTGAACGGATCTCCTAGTAATCTGGAGTAATCTCTTTAGATGAGATTTTTTCCTTGAGTTAATCTCCTGGAGGGGGGGTCTTACCCCTCTTTGTTGATTTGTTGATGTTCAACCCACCTTCGTGTCAGGACCCTACATGATTGCTATATCAACTAAAACTGTAATATGGGAAGGGACTCTAGAGATCCAGAGTCAGAGCGAAAGGGTTCCAGATCAGGTCCGGGAGAGAAGGAGAGAGAGACAAGAGTGAACAGGGATGAGAAAGGAATAAACGGCATCTGATCAATCCACCGACTTGGCTCTTGTCTCCTTCACCGTCTGCTCCGGGGCCTGGGCCGCCCTGGCTGAGGGCGCGCTCCAGGCCGCCCACAACCTGGGCAGCCACCCCAGAAGTTTTTTTTTACAGGTTTGGTATCGAAATATTGAATGTAATCAAAGTAGAGAGAGAGTAAAGTGGAAATCATCAAAACACAGGTTGCGGGAGGGTGTGGGATGGGGGTTAAACTGGGGTTTTTGGTGGTGGAAAATCGGCACTAGTGAAGGGACAGATGTTTGTTTCATCATTGTATGACAGAAACTTAAACCTGAAACATTTGTAACTGCTCTCACAGTCACTTGATCACTTGATTTCCCCTTAATCATCAATTTGCTTGAGCGGGCACCAGTAATATCTCCATTCGTCACTGTCGTGTGCTAGTGTAGCCCAATGGCTTCTGTTCATTCTAGGAACATGAAGGGCCTCAAACCGATCGTTCAGGTTCTTGACGAAGAAGTCTGACCATCTTGTAGGTGGGCAGCCACTCAGTCTTTTGATGTCCTGTGGAATCCAGTTGGTAACAGTTCTAGTCCAGCAGTGATCACCAAATCACAATACATGTCCAACAGCGATTCATTAAATAAATTTATAAAAAAATCTAACAAATCCTATCAAAACTGAGAAAAAATGTTGAATGGACAATTCCTTGAAGAACATATACAGATGACCCACAGATGCAATGAAGTGTTCATTGTCTTCTGATATAAGAGAAATGCAAAAAAATAAAATAAAATAAGTGAATGAATCAGTAAATAAATAAATTAGACATTGATATCATCTCATATCAAAACTAACACTGGAATAACTCGATCACTTTTGCTCAATCAGGCCCAGTAATGTCTTCATTTTGAGACTTGTTGTTACTGTGTTTGGCATATTGAATACACAATGGGTAGCTTGCCAGGCTTTGATGTGTGGGCAAGATACTCTCGGTAGCTTGCTGGACTCTCCAAGAGGGGCGAATGAATCGAACTCGGGTCGGCCATGTTGGCTGCAGGCAAGGCAAATGCCCTACCACTGTTCTATCACTCCTGCCCACTGGAATAACTAGTGCTGTGAAAACGGAACCTTCATTCACTGTCGGTTGGAATGTCGCCTGTTTTAGTTTCTATACAAAACATTATGAATATTTCTCAAAAAAGTAGGTATAGACCAGCAATATAATCCAGCAATTTGACTTCTGGGCATCTACCCCTCCAACACAAAAATTATGTTCATTGCAATGCTTAGTATAATTGCCAGGAGCTGGAATGTCTAGTAACAGAGGGGTGGATAAAGAAGTTATTGCATGGATAATGCAATACCGTGCAGATATTAGAATATATGAACTCATTCAGTTGGCTGCAATGTCGATGAAATTGGAAGGTATGCAAAGTGAAATAAGTCAGAGAGTGAATGACAAATACCTCTTATCTGAGGAATGCAGAAAGATAAACCAAGAATGTCAAATGATATTGGATAGGATTAAACAATGACAAACCCTTGGCCTTGCAGTATGCAACTTAGATTTGGGAGCAGAGATGGAGAAGGAAAAAGCAGATTATAGATCATATAGGGACAGGGAGGGGGAGGTTCTTGGATACTTTGCTTGGGTACTTTGGTGAGGCCCAGT